TATATGGCCGGCCAATTCAGCTTACTGATCCGTTAGACTATGTCGGTTACTCTGGTTCTACTGCGGAAATACTCATTTCTAAGTTTATCACGCAGAGAAACCCCGAGCATAGCCCTCTCCATAGCTCGCTGAGCGACCTTGAGCTTCCTCATACGGCCAGCAGTGAAGGACCACGACTCAGATCCGTAAGTCATCACTGGCAACACGCACTGGTTGTACAACTTCGTTTTAAGATTTTGAGGTATGTCTGATGAGAAGATGTGTCGTAGTTTCCCGAACGCTGCCCAGCCGAGTTGAATCCGTCGATTGACCTCTCGGTCGAAGTTGGACTTACCTAGTCGGACTATTTGTCCCTGGTAAACATACTCGTCAACAACTTCGAGCTTAGTGCTCCCAACAACTACCGGCATAGGTGTGACATGGACATTAAACATGATCTTTGTTTTGGATCTATTGAGGTCATTGAGCATGGTGCTTAGGTCCTACAGCGATTCTGCCATAAGGACTATATCGTCGGCAAATAGAAGGTGAGTAATGTACTCGCCATTGATGTTAATATCGTATCCTTTCCAGTCGTTTCCAAGTTTGAAAACGTCTTTCAATGCAGCGGTGAAGAGTTTCGGGGATATAACGTCACCCTGTCTTACACCTCTCTGCAATTGTATAGGTTTCGTACTCTGGTTCTGTACTCGGATAGCCATCGTAGCTCTACTGTACAAACACTTCAGCACTTCGATATACCGACAGTCAACTTGGCACCGCTGAAGGGACTGCAGCACCGCCCAAATTTCGACGGAATCAAAGGCTTTCTCATAGTCCACATACGCCAGACATAGTGGCAAATAGTACTCCTCGGACTTCTGTACAATTTGTCGAAGGGTATGTATGTGGTCTATGGTGCTAAAGCCCTTTCGGAAACCGGCTTGTTCGGGAGGCTGATAGTCGTCAAGTCTGCGCGCGAGACGATTCGTAATGACTCTCGAAAACAGCACGTAGACGCGGCTCAGAAGGTAAATCGGTCTGTAGTTGTTCAAGAGAGCGTTGTCACCTTACTTGAAGAAGAACACCACCGCACTTCTACTCCACGCCTCCGGTGTAACGACCCATTTGTGCTGCAACCATAATATAGCTGAAGGCATGACTCTACCCCGTAAATAATAGTATTTTATTTTTTATTTTATATTTATTTGCTTGGAAAACTTACAGCTAATTTACAAAAATAATATAATTATAACAAAAATGAAGGCCATTTACAAGTTTTCACTTATATAATACTTTATATGACAAGAGTGTGTCAGAAGAGATATAGTAACAGTATACTTAAATATAAATTACATTATCAAAAAGAAAAGAAGTTGTTAGAAAGTAAACGCCTAAGTTGGATAACACTGGAATGAAATAAATCAATATCCACATTGTGAGTATGTGCTATAGCATTAAAAGATCTGCATGATCGAATAATAAAAGAGTTTTTCCTGTAATTACTTTTCACGCATGGTACATATAAAAGTGTAGGTTTCCGCAAACCAGATGATGAGGTGTGTAAACCTATTTTACTTAATAGTTCAGGACAATCAATATTACCATTCATAATTTTAAAGAGGAAGGAGAGATCTGCAATATTTCTACGCTCATATAAAGGTAATATGTGATTTTTTTACATCGAAGAGTATAGCTGGGTATAAACTTTTTTGATTTAAATTGAAGAAAACGCAAAAATCTTTTTTGTATGCGCTCTATCCTATCCACATATTCATTATATTTTGGATTCCAAATTTCAGAACCATATTCCAAATGGCTGCGTACAAAAGCGCAATATAGAATTTTGAAGGTTTTTATGCTTTTAAAATCTGCCGATAACCTTAATATGAAACCCAGCGCTTTGTTAGCCTTTGTAACGATGTTATCAACGTGATTGTCAAACAGCAATTTAGAGTCAAAAGTAACACCGAGATCTTTGATAGTGCTGGTTCTATTTATAGAAATATGGTTTAATTTATAATTATAAATTATAGGATTAGGTTTACGAGTAAATGAGCAGATAAAACATTTGGAAACATTCAGATCGAGTTTATTGTTAGAACAGTATGCTTCTAAATTGAAGAGATCCTTTTGAAGGCTAGAACAACTTTCCAAACTTGTAATAGGACATAAGATTTTCATATCGTCAGCGTAAAGAATAATCTTGGAATTTTTAAAACACGTGTCGATATCAATGATAAAAATTAAGAAGAGCAAGGGCCCCAATAGGGATCCTTGTGGTACGCCAGACGATATATGGATTGCAGACGAACGATATCCACCAAGGACGACAGATTGACTTCGATTTCTGATGTATGACGTAAACCATCGGAATAAGTCCCCCCTGATACCCATTGCAAGGAGTTTACGTAAAAGAATTAAATGATCGATTCTGTCGAATGCTTTGCAGTAGTCTGTATAGACTACATCTACTTGTGCTGGTTTAGACATAAAGCTAGTTAGATAGTCGGAACAAATAACAAGGTTTGACACGGTAGATCTGTTTTTTAAGAAACCATGTTGATTTTCACTAAATGAGTGGCGAAGGGAAGAGTACACCTGGTTGTAAATTATTTTTTCAAATACTTTAGCGAATAAACAGAGCTTGGAAATGGGACGATAGTTTTGTACCTCATCCTTAGGTCCTTTTTTGTAAATTGGAGTAATAAACGCACTTTTCCAAATATTTGGAAAAATGCCTTCCTTTAAGGAACGGCGGTACAGAATACTCAGAGGCAAAGTAAGAGAGTCCGCACACCGTATGATTAAGATAGCCGGGATACCATCTGGTCCAGCAGACTTGTACAGGTCTATAGCCTTTAAAAGTCTGGATACCTCTGCTTCTTGCACCTCGATGGAACTGATATCAATAGAAGATTGATCAATTTGCGAGTCAATAATATTAAAATTAATTGTGTCGGAATCGTTAAGAAAATTAGATTTAAAAAACTGATTGAAAAAATCACAAATTACTTCACCTTTGCCTGAAGAATACTGTCTGAATTTCATAATAGAAGGATATGAACTTGGAGATTTTTTACTCTTAACAAAGTTCCAGAAGGCTTTCGGTGATTTGCTTATATTATTTTCTATATCACGAATGTAAGCTTCGTACATACTTTTTTCAAGAACCTTCCCACGTTCTCGTAATAAAACAAAAGAATCAAGGTCGGAAGTATTTCCATATTTTTTATACTTTGAGTGATACTTAAATTTTTCTTTTAAGATTTTAATCAAGGGTGTTTTATACCAGGGAGGAAATCTGGAAGATGATTTTACAGTTTTGCAAGGGACATGTTTGTTAATTAGCATTTGTAACTTATCATACAGTAAGGATACAGCCTCCTCTAAAGAACCCATTCTGAGGCAACTGGACCAGTCCGTATTATCAAGTTGTTGACATATTTTAGTGTAATCTGCAAAATTATACAGGAATTTTGTTCTGGTTTGCGGTGAAAGCGTATTTTGGTGGATGAAGTCAACAGATATACATAGTGCTATGTGATGAGGATCTTCCGAAACTAAAGGGTCTATACATTTATGAACATTTATAAAATTGTTGCAGAAAATTAGATCCAGAATTCTGTTGTTACAGTTTAGTTGACTGTTATATTGAGATAAGGAACATAAATTAAGAGTATCAAAAAAATCCGATTGAATGGGACCTTGAATATTAAAAGGGCATTGAGATTGCCCATCGTCAGCTGGCTGCCATATTATATTCGGCAAATTAAAATCGCCTAAAAGTAAAAAACCATCTGCCAAGTTATTTAACACAATATCATTGATTTAGTGGAAAAACATTGTAATTGCTGTATTAAGGAATTACCTAAGTTTTGACAGCATATATAAACAAGACAAATATTTAATTTGTAACACAAATTAGGCGATGTACGTTTTAGGGTCAGAGTAATCCATATGTCCTCAGCTGATGAACGCCATTCACTGCGTTCAAAAACTATAAGCTCTCGTCGAACAGCTATGAGGACACCACCCCCCATGCTTTGACCTGTATCAGAATAATTCCTATCACGCCTCCAAACTAGATATCGGTCGTCAAATAATTCTGTGTCATTGAAGTCCTCATTAAGCCAAGTTTCCGTTAAGCATATTAAGTCGTAATTATTCATTACGATATTCCTATATATAGTTGCTACTTTAGTCCGTAAGCCCCGGACGTTTTGGTAGTATATATTATATTTTTTTATGTGAGTGTTTTCTTAACAGGATAAGCACTAAAATAACGCGGTAGGTAATAGTAGCAACTACAAATAACTTACGTTGAGGTATATTAGAAAATAATCTACTATTCATTAGGAGAATGCATAAATATTTCGCGATATGAGCATACAAATAATACACATAAGTATAAGCAACGACCCGCGAGCAATGAAGTAAAAGTTTTAGTGGAGTAATAATAGTTAATCTCTTACACTCTGAAACTGATGCTAAGATATGACATATATGAAATTTATAGTAAATGTATATTGTGTACCCTAAACGGCAGAGCAAATGATTACCTGTTACAGTTACCACGGTGCAAGAGTTACTGTAGGTTAATATAAGTATTATTAACTTAGTGAATAATATACAAAGCACACAAAAATAATTCATATATGCGTATACATAATAATAAACAATTATTCGTAATCTATAAAACAAATAACATAGCACAAATATAACATGCGAAATGAAATAAAATGCGGAATGCAAAAATCTAGGATATGCGAAAGAAAAATTAAAAAAGGGTATTATGGAAACTAAGCAAGTGAGATTCAATATGCAAAACGTTACGTTAAGTACAACAGCATAATGAGCATAATAGAAATAAAAATAACAAACACAGGTAGCAAGAACATGTCCTTTCGTTACGCCAATAATAGCGAGGTGCGAGTACATCATTAATGAATAGACGATACCAACGCTTCTCAAACTTTGCGTTTGCACAGCAAGTAAACTTAACAGTAACTTGTGAATCCTTAAACTATTTTTCTTAAATCCGACTCCGTTTTTATTATAAGAACAGGTGATGTTGTGCTTTTCCGTACTAGGATTTTGCAGTTCTTTACCCAAACGTACGAAAAATCCCGCTCCTTGGCCAAAGACTTTGTTTTGTTTAATAACATTTTGTTTTCAAGCGTTAAATGGTCGTTGATAAAGATTCTGTTACTACCATTAAGACCTATATCCAACGGCGTTAGGGATTTACATTTTCTCGCTGCTGCAACAAAGTTGTCTCTGAGATATCGATTGTGCATAGACACAATTATGTTTTTGTTATTTTTATTATTACGAGAAGGAACCCTAGCAATGTAATTAATGTTGTTATCACTAATATTGATATCGATTTTGGTTGCTATTTTTGATATAATAGTAAAGAGATTTTCCGTGTTAGTTATAGGAACTCCTTTGATTTCAATGTTGTTCAACCGTGATCGCTGTTCCCCATCATTAAAAACAGCTTCCAATTTTTGCAAACGCTGTTCTAGACGGGACACATCTTCCTTGGTCTTCTGAAGGGTTTGAATTTCATGATCCACCTCGGCTATCCTAGCTATAAGTTTGTCAACTGAAGCGTGAACGTAGTCTAGCGAATCTTTCACAACCGACAACTCACATTTAATCGTTTTAAGATCAGCCAAATCAGCTTGAATATTTTTTACCGAATCCAGTAACTTAGGCATTGATGACATTTGTTCAGACAGTCCACGTAATTCACCACGAATACCATCGAGATCACTAGGAGCGCAGGAAGTGGAACGGCCAGGAGCTGGACTACCGGAGCTAGCATTCTTACAAGCGTTACATTTCCACGTTGCTTTCCTATCACCAAGTTTTCGAAAACCAATCTCGGTTATTCCAGCACACGGAAAGTCGTATTGTTTCAAACACAGGGAACACTGAACACCATCTCTAGCTTCAATCTTACAACGGTGGCAAGTGAACATTTTATTAAAAGGAAAGGTTTGAGAACTGTAGACAATTGCAGCTTGCAACAGCGCGAGACAATATTGAACGTAACGTGCGTACTGTTTACGATCTGACAACGTACTGTATACTACACGTATGTATACTAACGTATACTACACTAAAGCTCTGTACTCGCATTTGATATTACCCGATAGCTGTACTCTAAAATAAGTAAAAATCAACGTCTGGATCACAAAACTTACAACCCGAAGGCTTGCATCGAGCCGGCTCGTATACGTAGTGTAGCCCACATGGCATAATATATTGGAATTAATGTTAAGTCTAGAATATGTTGATATTCTAGTTAGACATAGTACTAACCACACATCTATTTTATGGACACCGCAAATATTACTAATATTTTTTTAATCATATTGGCTATACGACTACCTTTTTCTGATGTTTGTGCTTGTGCAATTTATATACGTAAAGTGCCTCCATGATACAGTAGAAAATCATTGTGTGTAACGATTTAAAAAAAATGAAGGTGAAAAAATAAAATTAAAAGGAGACTACTGTTGTGAACCAGTGCTATTAAAAGTATTGTTACGAGCTTGGAGTTCGAGACAATTAAAACTGCCGAGTGAATTACCAAGATTGACTTTTTAATTACAGAACACTAATTACAACTCAAAACCACACTAATAACAAAACACAATTGTACTACTGGTCACTTTAGTTCCCAATTGTATCGCTTCGAAGTATTCGTTTGTATCGCCAATCCAACACTGACTGAGTCGCGGTCTAAAACGGCCTTATATATGGCCTCAGATAATTTCCAGAACCTTTTATTGTAGAAACATCTAGAATATTCGAGTACATACCGGTCACGACTGACTAGGTGTTGATAGTTCTAGAAAGTTCTTCCATGAAAATTTCTAGAAGGATCTCGACTCTACTTGTTTTGCTACTCGATACTATAGGGCGCTAGTGTTAACTATTGTTGCCATGTACCAGGCATTAATAGCGGCGCTCAACAGTATTTAAGCATATTTGGAGGGATTAGGTGTGTTATTAGTAGTGTCGATAGTATTGATAGTTACTATATATATAAATAAAATTATATAAATAAAATTGAAGTGTCCGTCCGTGATATTGAAATAACTGGCTTATATTAAGCTTAGGGAGTTACTGGTATGCGCCAAACATCCATCTCCTAGGCACCAAGTGTACTAGTGGTCTGAAGAGATTGCAGTTCTGCACGCTAACTGTGTGAAAGCGAGGCGCCGGTACTAAGATTCGTTCAAGAGAGGAGCTTTTGGAGAACCTTAACCGAGATCCATGGGGGCGCCCATATAAGATGATCAGGGGCAATATTGGATCTTGGGCGCCTCCACTCACAGAGAGTCGCCAACCACAGTTTGTAGAGGATGTGGTGGTCACTTTATTTCCAAACCGGGTGGAATGGCTACCACCAACAATGGCCCCTTAACAAGAGACAAGAAATACAGCTGAGGTTGTTCGTGTGTCGTATGAGGGACTTGGCGCGGCAGTCTTAAAACATCGAGCGAAAAACAAGGCTCCAGGTCCCGACGGCATTCCTGGCCGCGCCTGGGTCTTAACCCTCGAGGAACTAGGGGAACAATTTCACAGGCTACTTGATGCCTATCTGGAAACGGGACGGTTCCCCTAACAATGGCAGATGGGCGCCCTGCTGACTCTCCCTCCGCCTACCGCCCAATAGTGTTGCTCGATGAAGCAGATAAGCTCTTCGAGCGAATAATAGCTCCTAGTCGCCTAATCAGGCATCTCGAAGAGGTGGGACCCAATTTGTCAGATCAGCAGTTTGGCTTTCGAGTGAGTCGGTCGAAGGTAGACGCAAATAAATGCGTCAAAGCCCACTCGGACGAGATTCTGGCATATGGAGGCAGAGTTCCTTGCGTCTCTGTACGGATGGCGCTCGGAACTTCGACATCAAGGGTATCGTCCTTCTCCCAGAGAGTGGCAATCACGGAAGCTTCAGCAGCAGCTTATCCTTGAAAAGTGGAAAGAGCGTCTAGCTCACCCGAAGGCAGGAAGCAGGACTATCGAGGCTGTTCGTATGGTCTTGCCAGACTGGTTGAACAGGTGGCACGGGTCACTGACCTTCCGGCTGGTACAGGCGCTTTCCAGGCATGGGTGCATTCGTAAGTGTCTGTGCCGTATAGCCAGAAGAGAGCCGAAAACTGAGTGTCATCACTGTGGTAGCGACAAGGACACGGCGCAGCATACCCTTGAGGACTGCCCAGCATGGGCTGATTTACGTCGTAACCTCATGCATGTAGTTGGGGATGACTTCTCGCTCCCAGCTTTAGTTAAAGCTATGGTTGGATGCGAAAGGGCGTGGAGTACCGGCGTAATCTTATGCCAACAAGTGATGTTGCAGAAGGAGGCTGCGGAGAGGGAGAGAGAAAGGACGGTAGATAGCCCAATCCACCGGAGATCCAAGAGAATCCAAGCCGGAGAATTGGGCGCCGGAGGAGAGTATATCAAGCTCTCCTGCACCCACCATAATTGATGATTACGTGGCGGACACAGGGACTTGTCCGTCGTCTTTTAATGCCTCAAGGTGGCGCGTACGGTGGGTTTCCCGTGCGCCCCTAAATGAGGAAGACCCTGTAAGGACTATCGCCGTCGGGGCTGCGGTAGTGTGCGAAAGCATTCCCGTAGCCCCGATCAGAGGCGAAGAGAAGAACGCCGTCGGGTTTAGCCGGTAGCAGTCCGGCATAACTTTTCTGTCGCCTTCGCGACAGGCTGGTATCCATGAGGATTTCTCCACGTATAAAAAGGGAGTTATTGGTACACTAAAAACAAGTAAAGTTGTATCCTGTTTATGTCCAACTGCTGGGCACAGGCCTCCTTTCATTTCTGAGAGGGTTTTAGGGCTAGGAAGTGTCCGCCGCGCTGCCCCAATGCGTGTTGGCGAGCTTCACACGTCTTCGTAATATTTTTTTTATTTTTTCTTGGACATGTAGGTTTCATCACGATGTTTTCCTTCACCGCCGAGCACGTGGTAAATCAGCAATTTAAATTGCAATTAACAATTTCATTGGTGCCAGCGGGGTTCGTACCCGGGTTGCTCGAGTACTGTGAAGCTTACAGCGAGCGCTAACCATCTGAGCTACCATGGCTCTGCTGCTCTGGTACACTATTAATATGCTATAAAATAAATAACTATTTTTCACATCTTTCGTCTATCTGTTTGTACGGGCTACTCTTCATAATGGCCGAACCGGCTGTGATGAAACTGTACAAACATATAGAGAGCAATGATAGGAGGGATCTAGACCATATTTTATCCAAAAACATGTTGTACACGCCCCTAACTGTCCCGACAAAGTACGATCCCACAGGGGCCCAGAGCTGTAGGCTCGTTGAACAATTAAGGACGGGCCGAATAGCCTGGTGGAATATTCTATCCTACTAAGCTTTAAAGGAAAGGCTAGCCGAATAGAGAGTATTTAACTAATACGGTACTTACCTGCTTCGGGAGCGAAGACTGGTGACCTGGATTTGTCAGGCTGAAGTGCATGTGAGTGGTGTGTGAGTGTCTGTGTGTAGGTGGTCTGAACCAGATGGCACGATGCTTCCCCGGAGGCGGTATTCTCCGGCGTCCCCGGTGGCAATTTCCCTCTTCAAGGCACTAGCTCAGTCTATTTACATTCAACTAGCTTCACAACAAAAAAGGAACTAAATTCGTTGATCACAGTTAAGGACCAACACGTGGCGCGGCCGACGACAGTGGTACAAAGTTCACCTCCGTTCGCGACGCGGCAAATCGCGCTACGATCGACCGATTTTTATAATGAATTGCTATATACGGTACGATACGGTGTTAGGCTATTAGTTAATAATACAATTAAACAGATGTTTTATTTTGAAAAAAAATACCGAAAAATTTATAATATATATATATTTATAAATTTTTCGGTATTTTTATTATATATAATTTATGAAATGGTCTTTATATATATATATATGTATATGTATGGTCTTTTACTATCCCAAATCCATATAACGTCAAATTATTAGAACTTGTCCAGGAGAAGCTAGGCCTGGTTGTTATTTATATATATGTTTTAAAGTATGTTTTCAATATCGTCTTAAACTTTATTTTAACACTGCATTTGTGTATTACTTTCATATAATTTAACAACATAGTAATCACCAGTATTAACATTATTAGCATAAGTTAATACCTAACTGAATACCGATCAAATGAACCGGATTTAGGATTTAGCCCGCTAAAGCTACCTGACGCTGATCCATTGTATTAGCATTGTATCCGGTTAGCGTTTAAGCCAACGGCTTTCAGTTTTGTCTGCGGACTTTGGTTGATGAATAGAACGTAGCGTATTATTAACCTCAGCTCTGCGTCTTTGTTTAATCTTTAATTTTACTTATATTGTTATTGTAGGTCGAGGTGTCGCATCTTTTAACAATGAATTGATTATAATTGTATTGATTTCACAGTATATGTAAATGTGTTTAAAAATAAAAATATAAATACAATAACTCCTAAGGGATGCGACACTTCATGTATATGTCACAGTCAAAACTTATAATAGGTCAAAACCACTATTGACTGCAAAATTCAGGCAAATATGCACGTTTTTATTTTACACGTGGTAGAGCCATGCTACAGCTATATTAGTAGTATAGTTGTAGCACGAATTGGTCGGTTTGACCGGGGAAGGACCACGCTCTCACAGAATACCAGCGTAAAATAGCAGCTTAACACTGCTGTGTTTCGTGTGGTGAGTGTAGAGAACCGGAGACCCTTTTTACTGGAAAAGAGGCATTCCATCTTAGTCCTCACGGGTGACAACGCATCTGCATTTTGATTCGCAAACGAGGATAAATGTAGATGTCCATGGGCCACAGCAACCACTTGCCATCAGGTGGATTGTGTGCTCGTTTTTCACTCTATCCAATAAAAAAATATGGTTTTGACGGATAGCCTTAGGCAAAAATAGTTTTGATTGATTTTGTAGCCAAA